TTGCAGCACTATTAACAATAGGCAGGATCTGGAAACAAACTAAGTGCCTGAGAACAGAGGAACGAATAAAGAAGTTCTGGCACATCTACAGAATGGAATACTATGCAGCCATTAGGAAAAATGAAGTCATGAAATTTGCTCATACGTGGATGGACATGTGTTGGATATTAACCCTAAGTGTTGTTGCTTCATCACTGAATTGCCCTTTTTCCTCCTTATGGAGAAGCTTACCGTGCTCTTGCTAGCATCCCTAATTTAATTAAAGTTTATCTTTAATATTTTCTTTGTGTTTTACCTCCCATTGTCTCAGCTCCCCAAGTCAGTCTTGATTACTTATAAGCCAAAACTTTTTGGTAAGTCCGGACTTTGTATTTGAAGTGCTGTGTATTTGTACCTGCTATACCTGCTAAACTTTTCCCTATAGCTCTTTTTTTTCCTTATGCTTTTTGGGTCACATCCAATGATGCACAGGGGTTACTCCTGGCTCTGCACTCAGGAGTTACTCCTGGCAGTGCTCAGGGGACCAAATGGGATGCTGGGAATCGAACCCGGGTTGGCCGCATGCAAGGCAGATGCCCTACCTGCTGTGCTATCTCTCCAGCTCCCTGCTATAGCATTTTTATATTTTACTATAGAGCAATGCTCTTTGGTTAAACACAGAAAGACCATTAATGCTATGCTCCTAATATTCGGGAGTTGGTTGACTCTGAAAAGTACCTACTTTGGGGCATTGGTCATAATTACTTGGCTCAGGCTTCAGTTGCTGTAGTTTCTAACACCCCAAAAGGGAGGTCCCGCTGGGATGGACCCGGGGCAAGTGGCAAATCTACCCCGGCATCAGAATGGGACAGTCTAAAAAGCATAAATGCATGGTCTTGATGCAAGCTGTTATACCTTTAAGAGATAGGACCTCCATGGGGAAGGACATGCTGAACTGGCCTGAGGACTTAGTCTGGGATTTATGGTAAAAGCCTTGCTTGCTCTCTGAGCCCAGAGAGCAAAGTGTTGGGATCTTTGTCTCTTACTGTGTTTATCCAAATAACTGCAAGTATTGATAAAAAGTAAACTTAATTGTTAAACATATACAACTAGAAGAAAAGACAAAAGCAATGTAGATGTCCCTGGGAGAGTGTCTCCTTGAGTTAATCTCCCCAAGAGAATTGCCTCTGCCAAATGTTTTGTTTAATTGCCTTTGCCAAATGTTTTATCTCTGTAAATGATCAATCACACCTATATCCTCACCTCAACCCCACTCAGATGTTCTACAAGTATGCTAGCAGTTATGCATTAAATGGACACTTTCACCATCAGGTTGTGAACACTTTCACCATCTCTCTGTCTCTGTCTTTCTGCTGGGAAAGTCTGGGAAGGATGGGAGGTGGCCCTCGCCACAGAACCCACGCATGTTGTACAACCCACACAATACTTTGAGAAATCACAGACATGAAGAGTATCATGATGAGTAAAATGAGTCAGAGGAAGAGGGACAAATATAGAATGATTGCACTCATTTGTGGGACATAAAAACATAGTATGAGAATAATACGCAAAGACAATAGAAATGAGGGCCAGGAGGACTGGTCCATGGTAAGAAGCTTACCACAAGTGGGAGGTGGGAGTGCAGTTAGGACATAGTGATCACTATGACAATGATAGTTGGAAATGATGACTCTGGTCAAGAATTGGGTGCTGAAAAGAGGTAAAGTGATATGCATGAAACCCTTTCAGTAACAGTATTGCATACCACTGCCTAAAAGGAAAAAATGGGGGAAAAAGAGAAAGAGAGAGAGAAGAAAAATGTTTGCCATAGTGGCAGACTGGGGATCAGGGAGGGAAACGGAGGACATTGGTGGTGAGAAACATACACTGGTTAAGGGATGGATGTTGGAACATTATATGACTGAAACTCAATCACGAACAATTTTGTAACAGTGTATCACCATGATTTAATAAAAAATCAACAAATGGGAAAAGAGATAAAAAACTTTTTAGGGAGAAGCTTCATATCATTGGAATGGGCAGTGATTTATTGTGTCCAACACAAGAAATGTACAAAGTATTTGTAAAGCATACCAGATAAGTAGTTAACATCCCAAGTATATAAAGGGGCCAGAAAAATGATCCAGGCAGTGTGCCTGCCTAGCAGGTGTGAGGCTCTGAGATTACCTCTTCTAAAGTCTGCTTCTCAGCACTGCCTCATGTTTCTGAGCCCCTCCTCAGTGTTTGAACATCATGTCCTAGATTGCCTAATAGTGTTGGGTGTGTCCACTACAATAATAAAGATATGAATAAGTAAAATAAATACACAGAATGTATAAAGACCTCTCCTATTTTAAAAAAAACCTCAAATAACTTAATTAAAAGTTGGGTTCTCTGGACTCAAATATGTCTTCCCAGATTCATGTGTTGAAACCTTAAAGTGTGAAGATATTTGTAGATGGTGACTTTGTGAGCTGAAAAGAGTTATTATTTTTTGGGGCTACACAGCAATGTTCAGAGATTACTCCCTCCTCTTTGATTGCCAATCGTTTAGAGTACTATGTGATACCCGGGATTGAACAAATTGTCTCCATGCAAAGCATGTCATTTATGTACTGAGCTATCTTCCAGCTGTGTTTTGATTTTTAAACAAATCATTCAATTTGTAGTTGAGCTTGTAGTTATCAAATTATGAATAACTGTAAATCATGGTGCCTTAACATTAAAAAATTCTTTAATGTAAAGTCATAGATTAAATTTATTAACTTTTTCAGGCCGTACTATAACTGTAAAAGAACAGAGAGGGGTTGGAGAGATGGTATAGATGGTGTTGTTCAGGGGCTATTCCTGGCTTAGTACTTGGAGGCCACACCTGCCAGTGCTCCAGACCATTGAGTTATCTCTCCAGCCTATGATTGAAGTTTCTGGTTTTGTTTGTTCTATTTTGTTTTGTTTAGGAATTACTCTTGGATCTGCACTCATATAATACTCCTAGAGGGACTCAGGGTACCATATGTGGTGTAGTACGTTGAACCTGGGTTGCTCATGTACAGAGCCAGAGCCTTACCCACTGTACTCTCTACACCTCCTAAAAACAATCTTACTGGGTAAGGTGATTGCTTTATAAGTAGTTTACTCATGGTCACCCCCAGTATGCGTGTGATCCTATAGCCCCCCCCCCCGCCAGAATTAATCTATCCCTGAATGTAGAACCAAGAAGTAAACCTTGAACACCCCAGAAATGGCCATAAAACCAAAAAGGAAAGAAAAAAACCAAAATTGGAGTACATGCTTTGCATGTGAGAGATGTGGGTTCAGTCCCTGGAAAAGCATGGTGCCCAGCATGAGCCCCAGTGGAGTGACACCCAAACACAGACTGGAATTTTCTGCAAGCACCACGTGGTGCGTCGAAAAGAAGGAAGAAGGAAAGAAGGAAGGAAGCAAGGAAGGAAGGAAAGAAGAAAGGAAACAACTAAGTACAGTATGGATAACTATAAAAGAACAGAGAAGCAGCATCAGGTGGAAGGAAGGAAGGATGAAAGGAAGAAAGGAAGGAAGGAAAAATCTAAGCACAGTATGGATAACTATAAAGTAACAGAGAGGGGTTGAAAAGAAGGTATAGCAGGCAAGGCACTGACCTGGGATCAATTAATTTCCAGCACCACACATGTTGCATGGGGGAGGGAGGGAGGGATACAGGGGGAGAGGGAGAGGAAGAGGGAGAAAGGGAGGGAGGGAGACAGAGTGAGAGAGAGTGAGAGAGAGATTGAGAGAGATATAAGTAAACAGGGACCAAAGAGATAGTACAGTGGGCATGGTCCTTGTCTTACACACATCTTACCCATGTTCAATACTAGTAACACATATGGTCCCTAGAACCTCACTACAGTATCTTTGAGCACAAAACCAGAAGTGAGCCCTGAACATCAATGAGTGTGACCAAAAAAGCAAAGCAGAGTAAATAAATATAGGTTACAAATTAAGATATTTCAAGGTCGTGGTCTCAGTATGGCTGTGGCTGGTTCTGGAGGTCTTCGGCTGCTGAGGCTCTGCTCGGGGCGGGGAGAGAAACTCAACCCGCCCCCCTCCAAGGGGCCCCGGTGAGGACAACCAGGCGCAGGGGCAGGAGACTCTCATTATCTAGTTTTTAGTTTGAAGAACCCGGCAGGCTACCAAAACCATCCTGCCCACACGACAAAGTCTGGCAAACTCCCCGTGGCATTCTCAATATGCCAAAAACCAGTAACAATTATGGGTCTCATTCTCCTGATCCTGAAAGAGCCTTGAATGTGGCACTTTCTAAAATCTCAAGGGCTAGGATGAAGGAGACATTACTGGTGCCTACTCAAGGAACTTGATGAACAACAGGATGATCGTGATTGTGATTTCAAAGTCACCTGCCAATTTTTTCTCTTTCTCTTATGGATAACTATTATTAGAGAGGTGCAACTTACTCATATTTATATTTTCATAACTTGACTGCTTATTAATGTATTTAAATTACTAATGCATGTAATATAGTACTTAAATATGTGGCTGAGTATGACACTCAGCTGTAAAGCACTTGCTCTACTTGCATGTGCAGGGACTTGGGTTCAATATCCAGCACTGTAAATAAAAACTCTAACTATCAATAATTTTGGGCAGAACAAGTAGTACAACAGGTAGAGCATTTGCTTTGCCCACCCACGTCTGATTCCCAGCACCCCATATGATCCCCCAAGCATTGTCAGGAGAGATTCCTGAGCATAGAGTCAGAAATAAGTCCTGAGTACTGCCAGGTGTGGCCCAAAACAAAACAAAACAAAACAAAAATAATTATTTAAAGCATGTAAAATATGTAATTTTTTACATAATTCAAAACTTTATATAGGATATTCTTTTACTGTGTCTTTGGACATTTGTGTGTGTTTTTTAAAAGAAAACATCGCTACCTTTATAATGCCCAAGATCCAGCAGAAACCTAACCTTAAACTAAGTCAGTTTCATGAAGACATTTTTGAACCCTCTGCTTCCCTCACCTTGCTGCTTTGGTGTCCATTCTTCATCAGACTCCTCAGTGTCATCTAAGTGAGTTTTGATGGCTTGTCTTCGGTGACTCATAAATGCTGGTCGAGCTGCTCTGAGACCTGGAAACAAGAAAAGTATTTTTCTAGAACAAAGTAAAATGATCTAGCAGCTTCACACTCACATCAAAGAACAAAATCTTCCTCTACATCTGTTTCCACACAGAAGGCAGCAGCCTAAGGGAGAGGTAAACTAATGCAAGACTTGAAAACTCATTCCCCGGGCTCTGGCAGCCAGCTCTCTCTTTTACCTATAGATATCAGCTCCTCATAGTTCCTCTTCACATTCCTATGCCGGATTTTCTCCCAGTCTCCCATCTCTGCCCATTCTTCCTTGGAGAAGTACATAGAAATGTCTTTGAAACTGTCTTTGGCCTAGAAAAGATATGGATTCCATTAGTGAGTTACAGTTATAGAATTATCTAGGCATTCTTAATTGGGTTTCCTGGGTGTAGCCTGTGGCTTCTGGGTGGGCTCTGTGAAACAAACCCAATGATCTCTCTTTCCCATAGTGTCCTGTTGAACAGGACATATCCCTGTCTAGTTGATGTCCCATTCTCTCACATCCAGCAGAACCAAGTGCTCTGCTGTGTGTACATGCAGAGAAGTATACCACTCTTTGTCACCAGGACCCTATCTGCATCTTTCCTACCATCCACCTTGGAGCCTGGTGCAGCCCTGTCCTGCCATGCCTCCCACTCTTACCATGGGTTTCAACATTAGTTTTCCTGCCTCTCCCTGGCTGTTTGTCTCTGCTGACCTGTCCAGGATCATGGTGCCTGGAACCCTGTCTGTAAAACTGTCCAGACCTCCTGGTCTCAGTCCCCAGATCAATAGGTCTGTGGAAGAAGAGGTTTCTAAGAGCAAACAACCTGGAGCACTTCCCAGAGCCAGTATCCATCATGATTAGGTAGGAAGAGGTGGGACCCCATAATGATTAGAGGATGCTAAAAAATGTCCGAAGGGTATTGATTATCGAGTCCCTGCCTAAAACAGATCATCTTGATGTTAATTAGACTTTACTACTTTATTTTCCCATCATAATGCCCATCTAAGGAAAGGCAGCCAAGAGTTGGCCCTGACTTTGGGTGTGTAATGAGGTGCTGTAAGGGAGGAGACATTGTGGTCCCTGGCTGATGACAGGGATCCCTGTAAGAACATGAACATACATTGTGGAAGAGCATTGAGCTTTTCCACCAGGGAATTATGGAAAAATCTGGGCTTAGAAACAACCCAATAAGAAATAATGAAATTGTGCCAGAGTGATAGTCTAGCAAGAAGGGTTTGCTTTGTATGGGGCTTACCTAGGTTTGATCCCCAGCATCCCATATGGTCCCCTGAGCACTGCCAGGAGTAACTCCTGGGTGCAGAGACAGGAGTAACCCCTGAGAACCTCTGGGTGTGACCCAAAAAGAAGAAAAAAATAATGAAATCATGCAATTTGTTGCAACATAGATGTAACTGGAGTATCTTAGTTACATGCCCATAGATGTAACTGGAGTATCTTAACCCTTATAGGAAATGAATGGTAGGTAGCAAAGATGGGAAAAATCACTGGTTATGGATTACAGAAATAAAAATTCTAAGTAAGTAAAACGGAGGGGGAAAACAAGATGAGGTCTGGAGGTACAGGGGCCACAGGGGCCAGGGGCCTTAGGTTTTTCTATGGTGCAGAGGCCTGCTATCTACGTCTAAGCCACTAAATCCAATACTGCCTTAATCTTGGGAATCAAACTACAACAATTAAATTAAAAAATGTATCTTTTGAGGAATGGACAGGTGGGAGTGAATCTGAGGTAGTAAGCATGGAGGGATGGGGCAGTGGGTGGTTGGATTGGAGGTGGGAACACTGTATGCCTGAAAACCCATTGCAAACAACTATGCAAATCATGCTTCTAAATAAAAGAAAACCAGAACACCAGGGCCAGCAGAGGCTTGCGATGTGGCAGGTCTGGTCGGAGTTCCGGCACCACAAGATCTCTCAGCACCACAGGCAGCGGCCCCTGCGCCCAGTCTGCAGCTCTGGAAACTGCCACGAGTGGACAAAAAATCAAAAAGGCAATCAATTGGGTGGAAGGACGGGGACGAAGCTCATTCAGAAAACACCCAATGTGCCTCGTGTCACCGGTTCCGTCCAGGCAGCGACGCGCCCTCAGGACCGGTCTCTCAGGCCTGCAGGCTGGGGGTTCTTCCTCAGGGGCTTTCGGTTCCCCGACCTCGCTGTCAGAGCAGGTCTCTGAGGTGAAGGGGCTGGGGTCCCTGGCCGGTGTTCTCAGCAGCCCTGAGGTGGGGGAACCTGGTCTCTCCAGGGTTCCCAGACGGGAGGCTGGGGGTGCCCAAGGCAGAGGTACTTGGAGTATTTGGGGGTGATTTGAGCATTGGATCTGTTTCCCTTTGGGAGCCTTTGAGGCTGCGGCGCTTTGGGGGCATCATCTGAGGAGATCCTCCCACCCCCACGCCCCAGCCCCGCGACCCCATGCCGGGTCTGTGGGTCTGGTTTCCCTTGGAGCTGAGGGATTTGGGTCCTCTTAGGGCGAGGGCCCCGGGGTCTCCGGGCAGGAACTGGAAAGTCTGGGCTTGGAGTTCTGAGCGTTTCGCATAGCTAAGCCCCTACCATGGCTTCGCCCCACTCCGGCTGGGGTGCCAGGACGCCGCGTCTTCCCGCTTGAGGCGCCGCCCTGTGAAGCCCCGTCAGCGGGCAGCGCTCGGCCAATTGGCGCCCAGCAATGGTGGACGGAGTGGAGCGTGCGCGAACCCTGCCTATCAGCCTACCCGGCTTCCCGCCCCCGGAAGTCCTGCCCCCGCCCCCCCACGTGACTGACGTCTGTCAAGAAGCCTGGAAATGGTTGTGGGTCCCTGTCACTCCAAATAAACGACCTGGTGCCGGAGCCCGGGCTACTCACTTCGTGCTCTGGGGCTTGCAGGTTGGGGATCATGCCAGGGAAACAACATTCTCTTTTAAGCTTCTCATTTTCTTTTATTTTCTTTTCAAAATAATTTAGTACTTTGTACCTGGGCTAGCCGCATCCTGTACTGTGGTATTCCTATACACATATAAGCATTGTATCAAAGTACAAATGTTAAAAAACAAAGTGACTCAGCAGTTGCCTATACAAAGTTAAACAGACACTGTAGATTATTTTTATTCTTGACTCATTTCTTGCTGCATAGTAAATTGCAATTACATGTCAGTATAATGTTACTGGTCTATAGAATAAATTTTAAATATGAGATATGACAGCTCCCAGTGAGAGAGTGCTAACATGCAAACGTGAATATTTTGAGTGATTTACTTTTTAGTTGGGCTGGAGCAATAGCACAGCGCATAGGGCGTTTGCCTTGCATGCGATCGACCTGGGTTTGATTTCTCTGTCCCTCTTGGAGAGCCCAGCAAGATACAGAGAGTATCCCGCTCTCAAGGCAGAGCCTGGCAAGCTCCAGGTGGCTTATTTGATATGCCAAAAACAGTAACAAGAAGTCTCACAATGGAAACGTTACTGGTGCCCGCTCAAGCAAACTGATGAACAACGGGAGGACAGTGCCACAGTGCTACTTTTCAGTTGCTGCGGGTGAGTAAGCTTCTTATTTTCTATACATTATTGCTTATGATCACCATTATGTACACTATTTAGATGCTTTTTGTCTACTTTATTTCCATCACCTTAAATTATGAGAAGGGCCTTCTTTTCAAGAAATCCACCATTTGCATTATTAAGGAAGTATCTCTTTTAAACATTTTTCTGCTGGTAACTTGATCTAGTTCAAAGTTTTGCATGACTCCGTTTTTTTAAAATCTCAACTAAGTTTCTAATTTTGACACACTGATATGTTTAAGATAATAAAACGGTTAGGGAATAGTACAACATGTAGTTCTGTGTGCTACCAACCTAGTTTAGATTCCTTTCCAGGAGTTATCCCTGAGCAGAGCCAACAGTAATTCCTGAGCACCCCTCTGTGTGTAGTTGCCAAAGAAAGAAAATTAAGGAATTGAGTTTTGATAAATGTTTTTCCAAAGAAATTTTAGGTGAATAAAAATAAATGCAAGTTCAGAAACATGAATCTAAATTCTTTACAAAATTTGCTATTATAAAGCAGTAAAGTTAACAACTTCCAGAAATGATTAGATGAAGTTGTTTTGTTTTGTTTTTACAGGGTGTAAAGGAATTTTGGCTAAAAGTTATGGGGAAAAATTCACAGACAGAGTTTGATTTAAATTAGTATATCTTAATTTAGGTTTCTTTTAGGAAAATAACGCAGATTTCTTGGTGGGGGAGGGTGTTTCTTTTGTTTTTGTTTTTTTTATAAATTGGTTTTCGGATCACACTCTAGGATGCTCAGGGATCACCCCCTGCATAGTTCAAGGGACTTATGAGGTTCTGGGGATCAAATCCAGGTCAGCCATAGTCAAGACAAGCACTTTAGCTGCTGTACTATCTCTTTGGATCCTAGATAAATGTTTTCTTTAACATTTCTATTTTTTTGGTGGTGGTGGGGCACACCCAGTGGAATTCAGGGCTTGCTCCTGGATCTGCGCTCTGGGATCACGCCTGGCAGGCTTGGATGACCATTTTGGGTGCCGGGAATAGACTCTGGGTAGGCCACGTGTAAGGCAAGCACCCGCTGTTTTATGGCTCATGCCCCGCTCTTTAACTTTTCTTATATAACTACTTCCGGAGTTCCCTTCAATATAAAGGTATGACTCAAAAGGTCCAAGATACGAATTTGTGCTGCTTATTCCACTAGATGGTTGAAAACCTAATAAAAGATGATCACTGTCAATGGCCAGGTCCACGGGATCTGTGGAATGTTGTGGTTTCCCGTGGCATTGGTTTGATGTGACTGGTAATTCCATGTGTATTCGTGAGTAACTCCTGTGCTCAGATCCGCATGCCATCTGCCTATCAGGCCCTTTCAGAGCACAAAACTCCCAAGAGTAGGGTATATACTCCGGGATTGAGGTTGGGGTTGGGAGGGAGTGGTGTGCAAGCTCCCGAAGACGGGCTTGGGGTCCCCTGGAGCAGCTCAGGCTCCAGGGGGCAGGGAAGTGCACGACCTGGAGTATTGCACATTGCTCCAGGGGGCAGGGCGGGTGTGCTCCTGGAGCAGTGCTCTTGCTTCAGGGGGCGGGGGCAGGGGATCTGCCCGGAGTATTGCGCACGCTTCAGGGGCCGGTGTGCTGCCTGGAGCAGTGCGCATGCTCGGGGGCTGGGCAGGGGCTGACTGGGAGCGTGGCTCAGTGCTTTTGGACCCGGTACAGCACCTCGAATCCCGAGGCGTTGCTTCGACCCAGCACAGAACGCCCGAGGTCCCCGGAGCCAGAGAGACGGTGCGTGACTGGCGCGTGCCGGCGACGCGCGGCGGGAGTGGAGCTGAGGGAGCGTGAGGCGCGTGAGGCGCGTGAGGCGCGGGGGCGGGGCGGCCGCGGTTCCTCGGGTGTGCGGAGCGAGGCGCCTGCTCAGAGCGACCCGGAGCTGCCTGTGGAGAGCGCGAGGACCGAGGCGCCTGCTCAGAGCGACCCGGAGCTGCCTGTGGAGAGCGCGAGGACCGAGGCGCCTGCTCAGAGCGACCCGGAGCTGCCTGTGGAGAGCGCGAGGACCGAGGCGCCTGCTCAGAGCGACCCGGAGCTGCCTGTGGAGAGCGCGAGGACCGAGGCGCCTGCTCAGAGCGACCCGGAGCTGCCTGTGGAGAGCGCGAGGACCTTTCTCTGCGCGCGCCTGTGTCCGCGTCCGCGTCCGTCTGTGTCCGTGTCCGTGTCCGTGTCCGTGTCCCCCAGT